ACAACTGATGTACATAAGATATGTTTAACTACAGAATATATAATAAGAATGAATTTAAATATATTATTAACACATAAAAATATTAAACAAATATTAATTGTAAAAACAATGAATGRAATWTGTCATGATTCTACAATATTCAACTCGCAGTTAATGAAAACCCATATTTTAAATCAAGATCCTCTGGACAATCACCGCAGTCAATTATTAAATATAATAATGCATTTTTATATAACACTTAGAATGCACCATTATGCAAAGATGCATACATTATCAAATACGGGCAAAAATTTCAGAAGAAATTTGACAAAATTAATTTTGTTTAAAAATCAATAGGTTAAATAATGTAAATAAATACATTTTACGGAACAAATCTAGTTTAGCACCCCTTCGAATTTTCGATTTCTTTTTTTGAAACCTATGTATTTTGACGAGTTTAGAACGATGGTGTAAAAATAAATTTTYGGAAATGATTAGTTTTGAAGTTATAGACTTGCGAAATTCACGATTTTCGATTCTATATACTCATGCGCGCAATGTTAAATGTACCTATTTAATWAAATAAAATAAAACGATTTATCACTAAAAATAAAAAATCATTATGGTTACAAATTATTTTATAATATTGTTAGATTAAGAATATATTTTATTAAATCATTATTTTAACGTTTTTATAATGTGGGCAGTGATGCCTTGCTAGCGGCACTCGTCGCTGTGTTCCACAAATCGAAAATATTCCTCGACTTGCTATGCAACACCACCTCAAGTAGGTCACAGGACACAGGGTAAGTTATGTTGTATTTATTTTTGCACTATCGTTCTAAATTCGTTGAAATACCTATGTTTCCAAAAAAAATAATAATTTGTTATAAGAGCGTTAAAATAGAGCGTTGTGTATGAGTAAATCGTGAAAATCGTGAACTTCGCAAGTCTATAACTTCAAAACTAATCATTTCCGAAAATTTATTTTTGCATCGTCGTTCTTAACTCGTCGAACTTCATAGGTTTCAAAAACAAAAATACCCATTTTATATTGTAAATTATTATAAAATAATAATTATTAAATTATAAAATAAAACATTTACATAATAATTAATCATACGATATTATCACTACTATGATAGTAGTGATAATATCGTATTTATCAAATAATTTAGCTATTGTACTATTATTTGCTTTTTCTAAAACTTCGCAATTAAATAAAAGAGTTTTACCGGGACATCCAATTTCTATAAAGTGCCGATTATGACATTGGCGACATATCGGCCATCTACGTCTGTAGTCTCATCTATACTCACCCACAATTTTTTATTCTCCAAGTAAGTTCTAATAKAATTAATTGTATGATTGTAAGTATTGCCTACATAGTTCTTTCGAATTGTGGATTCGTCTGGAATATGTTGGCCAGTATACTTTGAAAGGAAATTGCGGAAATTTTCATTTTTCAGTTTAAAAAGAGGAATGTTAGCAGATACCATTGCAGTACAAAGATACAAAGAATGGTATTAAATAATGTCTGAACAATTGCACTTTTTCTATTTTTTTGAATTTCTAGTGCACGTAAATGTTTATCTCTACTCACATGTTGTGTCACAGTAAATTTTTTTTCGGTTGCTACTCTGACCTCACAAATCTTACAAAATAGAACGCTTCTATCGGTAGAAAAAAATTCTTCCCCATATTGTTGAACGTAGGACCGCAAACGAGAAACATCTGAAGGTTTGGCCTTAGGCATTTTCAAAAACTTYGTGGAATAAACAAAACTAAACTAAATACATCTGCGAAAATCACTCAAAAACGTTTTAGGGCCGCGCCACACTAGAGCGGTTTTGACGCGCGTCAAAAACGCGAGATGAAAACGCATATTATGTAATGGAGTGCGTCAGACTAGCGCGATTTTACCGCGCTTTACCGCGTGATACCGCTGCATGTCACGGTTTTGCGTTTTCGCCGCGTCAACCGCTTGTCTACTGCTACTAATCAAACACATTATTTTCATTGACACGCGACACACTTCGGCGGTTACGACGCGCGGTTCCATTTCATTCAAATTTTTAATTTCATTCACATTTTTAAAGTTTWAAGTTTTTWAAAAAAAATTTCAACATGATTGACATCGAGTTGCTTATTCACGAAATTGAAAAAGAAGAATGCCTGTGGAAAACTAGCAATAAAGATTACATGGATAAACATAGCAAACAAAAATCGTGGATCAATGTAGCCAGTGTTATATTCAGTACTTRGAGCACATTTTCAGAGAAGGAACAGGAAGCTCGTGGTGAGTTTTTTTTTTAATTTATACATTAATTAATAATTAATAAAATAGCTAAATAATATTACGGGGTTAACATATAATTTTATTTTTACTCATAAATTTGTATCCTACTTTATGAAGTAATAACCTAAAGTTATAAAATATTAGGAATGCATTCCTACTATTCTAATTATTCAAGTATCGGAATACATATTAATAATATTCATAATAAAACTTATACTATAACTTTATAACTTACAAGTTATCTTCTATGATATTTATGTGCAACTATTAAAAATACAGTATAGACAAAACAAATATGTATGTATACATAATAATATATACCTATTCTAGAATAGACATTTTACAAGGTACACAAGAAATAATAATTTTATTTGTATACAATATTGTAATTTAGAATTGATTTTAATATCAAATATTAATATAAAATACCTATATAAATAGTTTCAAAATTAAAAGTTTAAAATAGATTTGTTATTATTATTACTGCTACTCAAATGTAATATAAAGTTAACTTAATGATTATTATAGGTATATTTGTTCACACAATTGAAAAATTGCTATACAAAACGATATTGGAAAGGTACTGAACTTCTATGCCTTGTTGACGAGCTCCTGAATTTCTATTTGAATTTCTATTTTGAAAATCTTCCAAATTATTTGAAAGAGTGTCTTCAAATTTATACCCATCCCTACGTTTGACATAATTGTGTAAAATGCAGCACGCTTTTACCACATCGTCCGCAAAATTAGGTTCAACTAATATAGCACTATGTAAAACCCTCCATTTGTTTGCCAATATACCAAACGCACATTCAACTCTCTGGATAGGCGGTAGTTAAATATTTTTCGTTTTAATGTAAGACCTCGCCCAGGGTATGGCCTCAAAAGATTTCTATGTTAGCCAAATGCTTCATCCCCAATAATGACGTAAGTCTGTGGACTGTTGTTTGTGTTAGGTAAGCAAGTAGATGCTGGTAAATTCAACTGTTCAGAGTAAAGTTTTTTTCCAAATGGACACTCTTTGAAAATTGTCGAGTCGCTGTCTTTACCATATGCACCAACGTCAATAGCAATAAAACAATAATCAGCGTCCACTACAGCCATTAGCACAATGGAAAAATATTTTTTGTAGTTAAAAAATAGTGACCCTGTATTATTTGGATTAACACAATGGATATGCTTCCCGTCGACTGCTCCAATGCAGTTTGGGAAGTTGGTTTTTAAATAAAATTTGTTGGCTATATCTAGCCATTGGTTGGRGTCAGGTTCTGGCATTTCTTGGGGTTGTAAGGTCTCCCATAAAGATTGGCACGTTTCTCGAAGTATACTTCTTATAGTACTTCGTCCAAGTAAAAATTCGAACTGCAGTGCTATAAAATTTGTTCCGGTTGACAAATACCTGTAATTGTATAATATAAACCAATTTAATTATTATTGGACACTGACAAAATAAGGCCGATATAATATTATTTTTCTATAATTATGATTTTATAAATAGATATTAAATATGATCACGTTATTTCTATTGATAATTAATAATTATATTTATACCGTACGGCGTTTCAATAATAATAATAATAATAATAAACGTGTGGTCTGTATTATAACGTATGCACTATAATAATATATTATATATTATATACAGAGGGTGTCCCACAGAGATTTGACATTTTAGATTCTGAGCGGAGCGAAGAATGTATTGATTTAACTATGTTTTGTGTTTGGTGTAACTCTAAAACTAATCACCGTAGAAACATGAAATTTTCACAGAATGTTTATACAGGCATTTTATATACATGATACAATTTTCAAAAAATTT